AAGTAGCTTGACTTAGAATCCCACTGAATTTAAACTTTCTCTACTCCCGGCCCAGGCCAAATTTCCTCCCCCTCTGTTTGTGACTGTTGTTGCAGCTTTTAACTTTAATTTATTTATGTACAACTTAAGCATTACATCTCACAAGCAGGGAAGATTTTTGTTTTGCCCTCAAAGTACATCTGTTAAGCCACCCTGGTTCAGAGGCAGTGGTCCCATGCACCTGATTGATTTCAGCCTATTCCACTCATCTGAACCGAGGTCCATGCAACTTGCCGGTTCCGCCTCACCGCCCCGGTGGGTTTTATTGCTCAGCCCTGGGGACTCTTAAATGACCCTTCAGTAATTATTACACACTTGGAGCCCCTACCTCCTGTTCGGGAGGAGTATCAACAATCAAATCAAACCCTAAAATAAACATATGATTTCAAGCATTAATTAGAAAATCTGCATGTTTTCAATAAGGCTAGAGAGTATGCATGCAGCAGTCAACCAAATAAACAAGAGAAAAAGAAAAGGCTACGGGCAGAACTCCCGTGTTCCCTTTCAAATTGGTCCAGCAGGAAAATCGTTACAGCCACGCTGGAGCAAAGAAGTACAGCATGATGCTCTAGTTTATTTCAAGTTGTGATAGTTCCAATCCTTAAGGGAAAAAAAAAAAAAAAAAAAAAAAAAAAAAAAAAAAAAAAAAAACCTTTCCTTGAGTGCCTCAAGGACTTGAGAAGAGAGGAAATGTACTCTGAAGACTGGAGCCGAAGTGGAGGTCCAATTCCTGACCCTAATAAGTGGACCTGGAGAATGGGCTGGACTGTCCACTTTAATAAAAGTTCGGAGGACACAGCCTGTTCCCTGTTATTTTCATCTGTGGGAAAGTTGGGCCTTCGTTGCCCTCCCCACTCCAATGCAAAAATGTCCTTCTTTGCTAACTTGGGGGGGGGGTGTAGAGAAACGGCCCTGGGTTCCCTCCACAGCATCACTCCCTTGGTGATAAAACTGCTCTTTTCACCGTTCCACGGTAGACGAAATACTCCCAGGACTTTTAAAACTTTCTCTGCACTTTCAACTGCTTTATCTTCTGCCCACCCTAAAAGCTGAAGTCATTTGTCCTTGTGAATTCTAGAAAAGCTCATAAGCTTACAAACAAAATGGAGACACAAGCAAAATTTTGTCTCTTCTGCTTTCTCAAATAACAAGAACAAGAACAACAACAACAATAATACAGGCGGCACTCTTCCACAACCCTCAAGTTGGCAGGGAGGGAAGTTAAAGAAACAGAAGCCCCAGGCCGACCTTATGCTTGAGGTCTCTTAGTTGAATCTTTGAAATTGTTGCAAACCTCCCACGCTCACTTTCTGATTTTAAAGGGGGGTGGGGGGGGTAAAGTCCTGTGAAAGTGTATCTCCAGTCCCAATCAAAACATCAGTTTGGCAATCTGGCCTCTCTCCCTTTGCACTCCCCAGTCGCCACTTCAAAGCCGCTACAACAAGTCAGTAATTGTAGCGTTGCATCTAAATGTTTAAGCGAGAGTCTTGCAGTCGCGTGTCCATTTACAGTCCTCATCTGTCCTCCAATTCCATTACGGCACAAAGCAAAAATGCTTCCCAAAACTCACAAACAGGAAAAGCGTCACCCTGCTGGAAGAAGAGGAGGAGGAGGAGGAGGAGGAGGAGGAGGGAGTGAAGTAGGAGGAGGAGGAGGGAGTGAAGTAGGAGGAGGAGGAGATGACGATGAAGGAGCAGTTTCTATTGATTAGTCACCGCTTTTGTGTTAAGGGCTTTCTTTAAAATAAGAAAAAAAATGGGGGGGGGAGGTTGCAGAAATTTCACTAATGTGAGCCTCGGGCAAGAGAGGGGGAAAAAAAAAGAGGAGAAGAAGGGGGGAGGCGGGCTGTGTCTAGATGAAAGTGAGAAGGACATAAAGGAGGCAATTGAGTCGGCTGCAGCCCGGCGAGCTAAGCTTCGAGCCGGCCGGAGCGCAGAAGAGGGGGCGGCGCGGCGCGGTGCTTTGGCGCTGGGCGCAGGAGAGGGGGCCCAGCCCATTGTGGCGGCGCCCGCGGGCCCGCTCCGCCGCGCCGGGGGAGGAACAGAGGCGCCCATTGAGCAGCCGCAGCGCAGGCTGTGCCCACAGCCCCCGAAGCCTCGGCCGGGGATTGGCTTCCCCCGCTGCTCCTGCAGTTGCTCCGATGTCAATGCGGGTCGGAGGCTGGGGAACAAGAAAACCGGACTTGGGTGTTCCCGGGCTGCCCAGCCTCCTTCATTCACCCCGGCAAGAGAGGGGCTGGTTTTCCAGTAGGAGCGCACAGCGCCGGGACGCACGGGCCAGAGCGCACCAGGCCAGCACGCTGCTCTTGGGTTGGGAGAGAATAAATAGGAAATTGGGGAGGTAAAGGGGGCCATCCAGCAGAAATGGCAAGGCCCTGGAGAGAAGAACAGGGGTGGTTCCGACCTCTTTCAGGGTGCCTAGCTCCCTGTGTATAGCGTAAGCAGACCCTGGGCCAAAGAAGATTCCCTTGGAAAGCCAGCCCTAGCAGCACCCGCCAGGCCCACCAGCGGGCACATCCGGCGAGGGCACGCTGCAGTGGTCAGGACACTCCAAAGTCCCTCCTCCGTCAGATTTCTCCTCCCCCTCCGCCGGGCGTTCTGAGCTGTTGATCAACATTCACCCCACAGTGCAAGCGGGGCAGCCTGCGACTTTGGATGCCTAAACAACGCAAAGGGAATTTTTGAGGTTTCTAGACTTCAAATTACATCTCACTGCGTCCTTTTCTCTGGACCACTCCTGCCCTGCAGGGCTCATCCGGAAAAGGAGCCAGAGGCACTGGAGAGATGCCGCTGTATCTTCCTTGACAACCCCAAATTAAATTAGGCTTCAGCCTTGGAGGTGTGTGTGTGTGTGTGTGTGTGTGTGTTTGTGTTTTCAAGGGTACAGCCCCCACTGGGGAGAATACTCTGATTTTAAAAATGGTAGCAATTGCCTTTGAATGGAAGCCAGCCCAGCTAGAGGGCCCAAAGACTAGAAACATTTTGTAGGTGAAATGGCCACTTTTTCCACGCTGGAGAGTCCATAAAACTTCCTGGCGCAGCAGCTATTGGGGCTCATTGAATAATTCATCCCTCATTGCAAGCCCATAATGTCTATTCTCAGCCCTTTGTGGGGCTGTTTTCTCTTCTTTTCTCCTTGAATTATAAAAAGGTTGCCTTCCTTTGTTCACATCAAGCTGCTCCGAGCTGGAGCTTTGTCTGGCCCAAGCTAAAGTGTGAGTTTCAATGGACTCTCCAGGCTTTGTCTCCCAAGTTCATCTCCAAGTGTAGATTGTGTAGAGAAGGCCTTCTTTGTAAAAGCTGGAAAAGTTGTACAAATGTTTGACCAGCTCATTTGGGACGTTTTGTCTCCTGGGCCTCTGTTGCCTGTGCTGTGAGGGAGCAGCCGATCAGCCCTGCCAGAGCCTCCAGTAACAAGTAGCAAAGCCGTGGGCCTCCTGAGCCCCTCTAAGCACTTCAGGCTCCTCTCCTCACTGTCTGCAGGAGCCCAGGAGGGACTTGGAGTTGTACAGCTCCTTGTCTTCCTCCTTCCCCAACACCTCCCGGCTGCAGCTAAGGCTGGGCTAAAAGCTGGGGTATCTTCTTAGAGGTGAGGAAAGAAACACATCCCTCCAAAAGTGAGGGATTTGCACTGAGTCCCTGTGAAACGCCTGCCGTAAAGGGCCGAGGGGAGGGAAGGCAATAGCCTAACATTACCTCCCTGTGCAACCTGCTATGGTTTGGGGTGTCTTTCCTTGATTGTGTGCATGCCTTAACTAAGGCATTTGGATTTGTAGCATCCAAATATCAAAGTGCCTTTGAGGTTGTGCCCCTATTCTGTGTTGGTTGGTAAAGCAGCTGCTCCAGGGCTGGACAATGAAGGGGAAAGAAGCGCCAGCTGCTGGACCCACAGTCCCACTTGGACCCACAGTCACTCTGGTGAGGGGCTAGACCCAGCTGGTCACACTAGGTAACCCCTCCAAGCCCACCTGGAGAGACAAAATTCTACTGAGCGAAGCAAAGTCCACACTGCAGGTGAGGGAACTCCAGGTGTGGGTGGGGTGCTTGGCTCCTCCCAGTCATCGCACCTGTGAAGAGCTGTAACTCTGTCCAAGGCTGAACCTCTGTGAACAATCCTACTCTCCTTCAGCTGTGATCCCACGCTGACCCATCTCCCCCACTTTTTCTTTCCCCACCCCTTTCTCTTTCTCAAGTTTGAAGATGACTCCCATCAGGTAAAAGGGAAGCACACTGCATTTCTGGTTCCCCTGAGGGGAAATTTTACTCTAAGAGCAAATAGGCCATAGCCAACATGGAGTGGGGGTGGTCTGCACCCTGGGGTACAGAAGGTGTCAGCACTATGAGGCTCGAACCCAGATCTCTTTGATTTGTAACCCAGAGCTTGGAGTCCCAGGAGCACACAGGTTAAACCCCATCACATCTGAAAACCAATTTAGAACAAATCAAAAACAGTCTGCAAACCTACATACACATATATAACAGCAGAGATACGGGGCCACTTTGGGGGCCCACTGCCTAAAATTCTCTCTCTCTCTCTCTCTCTCTCTCTCCCTCGGAAATTGAATCTTTCCTGAGGGTACAGAAGCTACTCCAACCTCAGGAGGCTCAAATACTCTGATCCCCAGCCCCCCAGTGGCTCAGAGATATTCAGTCCCCTCCTATACCTAAGGGCAAAGGGGCAAAAGGGGCAGCCTCTCCACTTAGAGCATAATTCACCGTTCTAGGCTCCGCAGGGCTGGAAAGTAGTGCGGAAGAAAGATGTGCGAAGTAGAAATCAAACAGAATAGAGACTTTTGCTTTAATTCCGTGCGTCTCTCCGGTCTTTCCCTTGAATGCCCTTAGCCAGACGCGGTGGCTGCGTGAGTGAAGAGGGCTGGGCCGCGATCCGGCCCCCAACGTCGGGGAGCTGATGCCTGCCAAGGCCTGGAGCGCGCGGCCCAACGCGCCGCCGCCGCCGCTTACCTCGCTCGCTCAGGATGCCGTCGATGCTGTGTTTGGCCTTCTTCTCGCTTTCCTCTGCCTCCTTCCTCTCTAGGTCGGCCTCCTCCTCTTCGCCTTTCCCGAATTTACTCCGCAGGATGCGGCTGATGGAACTCACTGGGGATGGGAGGGGCAAAGGAGAGCACAGGACTGAGACGCGGGGGTGTGTAGGAAGAAACCCTCAAACCCGCAGCCGGGGCGCGAGAATGGCTGCCCTGGACACCTCTCTTCTGTCTGATCCTGCACCACCTGTCCACCCTCCCGCTCAAACCCTTGCCACATCATCTTCATTTGGGTTCAGAACGGCGGAGCCTGAAAAGCCCCAAGGGCCAGAAAACACCTCTCTCCTCCTGGCAGAAGAGTTTTCCCTCCTGACTCCACAGATCCGGCGGACTGTAGGTCTCCAATCGCACCCCCACTGCGCCGGTGTGTGCCCTCTGCCTCTGCACCTGAGGCCCCGGCCCCGCGGGTCGCAACAAGGGAAGGAGACCCCAGCGGACCTGTTCCCTACAACCCAACTTCTTTGGAGGCTCTAAAAGGGTTTCAGTTTCAACAGCAGGATCGTTTCCTATTGTTAAAAAAAAAAAAAAATCAAAAGGAAAAATGCACTCTCCCCCATTTATTTTTTCCAGATCCCAGTCTGGTAAACAAATCCAAGTTCTGAAATATATCGTTCTCGAAGAGGGAAAAAGGGAGTTTCCTTTTAATTAAAAACAAACTCGCCCGCGCGCCCGCGCGCTGGCCCTGCGCTCGCCGCCTTTTCCTTCCGCCTCCTCCAGGCTGCTGGGGGGCGCCGCATGATCCCGGGGACTCTCTGGGAAAATCGAGGCTGTTTACCGAAGCTTCCCTCCCGGGGCGCAAACGGCTCTGCCCCGTCTCCTTCGGTTGGGGCTACCAAAGCGGTTGCTTCTCTTTATAAGGAAACATCAATATTAATCAACGCTGTTGCCTCCTCAACAGAAACGCTCTTGGGGGAGATCGCAGCCTTCGCCCTCTGGGACAAGCAGCTCACCCCTCGCTGCAAAAAAACGCCAAGGACGCCTGGTTTGTAACTATGTCAGGGCCTTGGCAGGGGCCACCTCTTCACGGCTTGGGTAGATAGTTGGGGTGATAATGGCTCCGCGGACCCGCCGCGATTAAAGTGGACTGACGGTCACGCCTGGGGCAGAAGCTAACGGGCCTGGTACCTGAGGGCACGGTGTTCCGATCACAGACCGCGTCTTTGAGCAGTTTGTCTCGGATTTCCCAGCTGAACATGCCCGGGTTCTCTCTTTTGTATTCCTCGATTTTCTTCTCCACGTCAGGCGTTGTCACCTGCTTTAAGAGAACAGGCGGGCGTTGGTACCCGGTAGTCAGGGCCAGCCGCGCTCGGTCGCCTCCCCGCCTGTTGGAATGCTCATCCTGCATCCTCTGGGAAGGTTCCCCTTCGTTAACAAAAGGACCCCAACTCTCTGAGGCGCTTGACTTTAGAAAGGGCCAGACAGGAAAACACTCCAACCACCTCCCCTTCACCTCCCCACAGTTGGAGAATTAGGATAAATTAAGAATGATCATAACATCTTGGGTATGGAGATTGTACTGTCCCATCCTTGGAAATTAAGACAACGCCTTACAGAGAATCCGTAGGAAAACGAAACTAAAAAAGGAGTGCTTGAAAGGGAAACTGAAAAATCAAGTTAGGTCTGCAACTTGTGTCTCTCGAAAGGGGCGCAAGATTCTTAGCTCAAGTGAACAGCAGAATAAAATGTCAGAGCTAAGTATCTTTTGGGGAAAAAAAAAAAGAGGATAACACGTGTGGATAATTTCAGAGATTTCTCCCTCCCCCAAAGAATTTCCAAAGACCTTTAGGGAGGTTGCGAGGGTGTCTCGGTAGGGAGGAGAAAAGGGGAGGGCGTTTGGAAACAGCAGGTTTACCAGAACCCTTTAGATTTTGCCCTGTGGCAATTAGAGAGTCACGTAGACCTTTCCCTAAATTCAGAAGAAAAGACAGACCCTATGCTGTCTCCTCCCATTCAACGGTGAGCCAGGGTTGACTTGGCTTTTTAAAAGGGAGCCAGAATAATTTAAGGGTAGCAAAAAACTGCTTTTTAAAAACGAAGTCATAGGTTCATCACCAAGAAAACTCCAGGAAAACGATTTGCACTCCCGGAGCCGAGGGCGGAAGTTGGGAGAGAAACTATCAGAAAACCAAAAGCGGGCTCCTCGGAATCCTTCGGAACAGGAGTGTGCGATGGGCCAGGGCTGGGAATACACTCTGAGAAGAAATACGCAACAGGTGGACGCATGCAGATTGCAGGCTTTAGGGGTTCGTCTGTTAGCATAATTTGATGAGGATTCCAAGGTTCCCGGGTAGTTTTAAAAATGCGTTCTCCCCTTTGCAGAAAGGCATTAGCGTGTGTCAAGGATTTTCGGGCTCTGGGAGCAACCGAATCCCCCGCACCCCCACCCCAATTCCTCACGCGTACGCACGGGCGCACACAGACGCCGCTCTACAGACTTGGAAAAAGAAAGCCCACAGAGCAACCCTTGCTCCCAGTCCGCTTTTCCCCAACGCAGGGGACCGGGAGGCGGCAGGGCCGGGCCCACGCCCTCACCTTGGGCTTGCTGCCACCGATGGCGCCCGGACGGATGGAGCCGGTCTCCTGGTACCTGCACAGGATCTTCGAGACGCAGCCGTGGGACACGCGCAGCTGGCGCGAGATGACGCAGGGCCGGATGCCGTGGTGGGCCATCTCCACGATTTTGTGGCGGATGTGGTTGGGCAGCGGCCTGCCGTTGATAAATACACCACCGAGCTGGTTGACTCGTCCCTGGCCCAGCGGGGTGGACACTGGGAGAAAAGAGAGGCAAAAAAATCATTCTGGGAGAAGAGGAGGCAGCCAGAAAGACAAACTCACTTCGTTTCTCACTCTCCCGGCCAATCCGCACGTTACAGCCTGGCGCAGACTCCCAGCCTCAGACCTTCCTAAAATCACACGTGTTCAAATAATTAGGCAGAATCTTGTGTGAAGACAGCAATCGGGACAAGATAACTCCCCGGAGAACCTGTCTTTCCTTTGGGTCCAAAGGGTCTTGGCATTTTAGAGCAAGACCCCGAGGCTGCTAGGTGTCGATCCAGAAACCTCCGTGGCCGAGAGAGGCTCCTGCAGGCCCTAGCTTTGGTGGCCTCCGCTCCCTGAGGCACTGGGGCCCGCTGACAGCCCTTGGGGATTTCGGCTGCTGCAGCCCAGAGTCCCAGAGGGACTCCAGAGAGCGCAATCACCTGTTACGCCTTACCACAGAGACTGCGCCGGGCAGGCCTCCAGGCGCGCTCTGGGTGTGACCTGCTACTCTGGACCGAGGGCCAAGGGTACAGCCAGAATCCCCGCTCCGGCGCGCAAACCTCGGGAGCGGCTCGGAAGAGCTCCGACTTGCAAAGCTTTCTGCCCCTCCGCCCGCGAGTCCCAGAAATCCGCGGCCGACTGAAAGTTGGTTCCCAGTCAAGGGACAGAAACTTCACGATGCCACTTGGGATAAACCGAACTCTGACTGATTCGTGAATACTAAAAATGCCAGTGTCAACGGCCGGCAGAGCATTAGCCAATCCCAACTTTGCACGGCGAAGAAATTCTTCCCGCACTAACCAGAGTTTCACGAAAGCGGGTGCAGCCGGGACAATTTTGAGGCGACTCTGGCTGGACAGAAGGCATAGAAGTCGCTTCTAGGGCCCAGAAGCCGTTTCACTCCTTCCCCACCACGACATTTCCAAAACAACGCTGCAAAGTGGACCCGGCCTGGTGCAGGCCTGGCCGCCAAGCTCCGCAGGGCTTGGCCGAGGGCAGCCCCGCGCGGGGTTCGCAGAGAGAAAAGCGCCCGCAGTGCTACCACTTCTTGGGGTGGGGAGTGTCCGGGGCCCTGGCGCCCTGGGCGCGCCGCGGGGGCCGGTGGAGACCTAGAAGGGATGGAGCGGTTGATCCCAGGCCGGGATCCGGCCGGCGCACGGGCCCTCCCTTACCTTCCAGCGGGAACCCGCTGCGCGGGTAGTTCTGCCCCGGCCCGGGCCGCATCATCCTGGGCACAGCGCCGGCCAGTGTGGTCATCCTGGGGGCAGCTTCGCTCGGAAATTATATCCAGGTGAAGACGAAACAGCAAGGCGAGCGGAGCGCGGGTGACCCTCGGGAACTCTCCGCAGCGTGAAAAGCCCCTCCCCAAAAAAGGCTGGAGAGAGAGAGAGAGAGGGAGGGACGCGGGGAGGTGGGCGGCTGCTCGCTCTTGGTCCAGAGGCTCGGGATGGAACCCGGGAAAGGGGCGGGCGGCGAGGCCCCAGAGTCCAGGATCCCGAGCCCAGGGCGGAAAAGTTTGCTGAGAGTCAGGGCGAACGGCCCCGCGGCTGGGGGCGCTGGAAAGGGGGCTCAGAGCTCCACGAGGAGTCGGAGAGGGGTGGGGTGGGGGTGAGGCAGGAGCGCGGCCTGAGTCTCCTCCCGTCGTGACACCGAGTGCGGGGATTCGGGCTCGGGAGCATTTATTAGTTCTTTCACCCAAAGCTTGGTCAGGAGCCCTGAGCTGCGATTGGCCGACGGGGAGACCGTCCCGGGTGGCGGAGACACGCGCTGATTGGGCGACAGCGGCCACTTTCTCTTCCCATCCCTGGCGGTGCCGAGGCCTGCACCGGCCCGGAGAGGAACCTGCGCTGCGCCCCTTCCCCGGGAGAGAAGGGTGGACCCGTGCAAACCGGGAGAGGCAGCCCGAGGGTGACGGCAGTCTGGGCGGGTGGAGAGGGGATCTCTGTCCGCCTCCTTCTGCGAATGTCCCTCTCTCTCCTTGACTTGCTATTTATCGGTCTCTTTCCGTGTCTCTGCGTGTGTCTTTCTCTTACTCTACTCCTCATTCTGTCTCTGTGTCTGCTTCTCTCTCGCTCCCTCGTTTTTCATTTTCGTGGCTTGCAGCCGCTGGAGGAAACACAGTTCCAATGAGATGGCACCGGCTTTCCTTCCCGGGCTCAGCGTCCGGCAGCCTAGGCCGGTCACGGGTTCTCCCAGTGGGGTTCCTCTCAGGAGGAGTCCCGGGACTATTACTAACCTGCTTTTGTCTTCTTACTTTGAGGGCGGGTTGGCGCAGAGAACCAGGGGCTAGGCCCCAGGATGTGTTAGTTGAAGGTTAGGGATGGATTGGGGGGGGGGGGGGGCGGGGAGAAAATCGTTCTCCTCTCCCTGATTTGAAAACTGCTCTGGGAAGCCCGGGGTTCGCAACGCACATCTCCGATGCAGAGATGCGCCTATATGTTAAAGTTTTGCCCGGCTGCAGCGTTTGTTCTCAGGAATTTATTATGGCATTCAGACGAAACTGCTGGAAAAATAAAAGGAGCGGGGGTCTTGGCTAGGAGCTGAAGTGTCCCCAGCAGGATGTGACGCCAGGAGTGTTGTAAAGACTGTCTGTCCTCAGAGAAGGTAGCATTGTGCATAGCCTTTTATTTATAACTTGGTAAGTGCCAGCGAACTGGCCTCCTTGACACCCCCGAGTGCCAGCCCCGCGCTCTGCACTGCGCTTTATTCGCTTGAGTCTATTCAGGGACTGTCACTCTGGGGCCGGGAGGTATTCAGGGCCTTAATCAATCAAAAGGATGAGAATCGGGCAGGTTTTTCCCTTTGAAATAAAGGAAACAATGACTTCTGGGCTTCAAGTTCCCCCTTTTGCGGAGTTCTCCACCCCTCTCTCTGTCCCTCCTTCCCCCTCCTCCCTTGACAGTTTTGACATGAACTCGGGCCCCCAACCCTACTTCTCCAACTCCTAATTAAGGCAAACTCAGAAGATGGTGTGTGTGTGTGTGCGCGCGCGCGCGCGGAGGAGGGGGGTGGGGAGAGTGGAACTGCTCAACAGGTCACACGTTAGTCATTTAAAAACCCTCTCCAAGTGGAGCAAACAGACCAGCGTTGGTCCGCTCCCCTGACGTCAAAAGGCTTGGTTGGCTCTCGGAGCAGCTGAGACAGGCCCCTGGAGACTTCAGAAAATGCCTGAAACCTTCCCTCCCACCCATTGCTGGGGAGGGAGTGCAGAGAAGGGGGAGGCAATTCGCATTCATTGTACAAAGTCAAGAAGTTGCTTAAAATGAAGCTCTGTTTAACCTGGTTTTACATGAAATTATTCAACTGTCAAGGGGGAAAAAAGTTCTCATTTCCTTCCTGAGGACTGGGGATCACCAAATACAGCATTTTGGATGCTAGGCTTTTCCCAAGTTTTCTGCCTCCCAAGGGTTGAATGGAGCCCACAGAGCACTGGCTGGGGTTCCCAGTACTGTTGGGGAAGGGAGGTATTTCCAGAACTTGTTAAGAGGCAAATGTAGGCTTACCTCTCAGCTGAAAAGAACCCCAGACCTGCACGTGCCTGGGCAGTCGCTCAGTGTGTGTGTGTGTGTGTGTGTGTGTGTGTGTGAGTGGCTGAAGAACGTCTGGGGCTGAGTCTTATTTGTTCTTGAACCAAGGATGGGTATCCCGGAGCTTTCCCGCCAGCTCCTCTTTGCCTTGGAAGCCGGCAGATCTGGGAAGAGATGTGCTTACTGCAGACCACAGGCAGGAGAGCCGGCTGGACCCTGGAACGGAGATTCTACTGCTTGAGTTGTGTCTCCAGTGCCTATGAGTGCTGGTGCAGTAGCACTCACAAACTCGTGCCACTTGCTATGAAATGGTACAAATGTTGGCCACCAGCACCTTGGCAGCTTGGGAGCCTGAAGCTCCAAGGTCAGAAGGTGACCTATTTTTGTGTCTTTCCAGGGCCTCTCCACTGCCCAGTTCTCTGAGGTCTATATGGACTCCCAGACTCCAAGGAGAGACTGGTGGGCACCCTTGGGATCTGCACTGCTGGTCCATTTGCATTTCTAAATGCCCTGGGAGTTCAAGATCCCTGTGGCTGGTATCTCCTAAGTCCTACGTACACTGTTGGTCGAGGCTACCCATCAATAGCACCAACCCACTGCCAGATCAAACCAGACCCCAGAGCCTGGGACTCTGAAGAACTACATGCAACAGATTGCCAGAGGATCAGCTAATTCCTGACTTCACAGACTGGTTTTGAAGGACGACACAGCCTGGTTCCATACTCTCAGCTGTCCCTTTGCCTCTGAGGCGTGCTCACCCACCCTTAATTCTCGCCAAAGTCTCTGAGGAAGCAGAAACCACTCTGCCTCCAATTCTCTGCAGCTGGAGGTCTCCACCCTGTCCACTTTTCCTGTCAGGAGCCTGAGTAACCCTTGAGGTCCTGCGCCGAATCTGGCTGCAATGCAGACACTAATTGGCAGCGACCATGCTTGCAAGGCAAGGGCCAGAGGCATGCAGCCCTAGACCCACGTTTGGGAGGAAGCGTGATTTCCACGGGCTGACAAATTACCCAGACAGCATCCCTGAAAGTCCCTAAGACAGTTTTTGTGAACCAGCAGGGCATCCACCTGCTTTATCGGTGGACATGCAAAATGAAACCGGAGCTTTGAGAGCAACAGACACTTTTGACAAAGGAAGGAAGGGAGGGAGGAAGGAAGGAATAAATAAATAAAGAAATTAAGAAATAAGGAAATTAAGATAAGAAGGAAAGAAGGAAAGAAAGAAAAAAGAGAAAAGAGAGAGAGAAGGAAGGAAGGAAGGAAGGAAGGAAGGAAGGAAGGAAGGAAGGAAGGAAGGAAGGAAACTTGGTGCTGCCCCCTCTCCTCCTCTGCTCCCAGTTGCTGTGACATCTCAGGTAAACTAGATCACGATCTATCTGGCTATGCAGGCCTGGGTGGAGCACGCCTCAATGGAAGGCACGTCCTCCAGCTGGTTTCCACGTAAGCATCTGTAAACCCAGTTAGGTGGGCTTCTGCCAGAGTTCCACAACTCTGGCCAGCGCCTTTCATGGCCCCTGAGCTGATGGTGCCCCTGAGAAATGACCTCACTTCCAGCCAGACACTAGTCTTAAAAACAAACCATGATCCATGCAAAATAATGTCTCTGACCTTGTGTGTGTGTGTGTGTCTGTGTGTCTGTCTGTCTGTGTGTGGTGGGGAGAGGTGGTGGTGTCTGCCACCCAGGCCTTTCCCCCACCACCCCCGCAGGAAGGCCGAGCTCTGACAGGTTGGCGTGGTCGGGTATGGACTTGACACAGATGTAGTTGCAGGTTGGGCAGCGCTGAGAACCCCACCATCCCACAACCAGGGTGCCTCGCTGGCGGGGAGGTTCCGGATCCCAAGCCTCCTGGCCGGAAGCGAAGATAACGGGTTGGTGAATGCGCGGGTTAAACCCGTGGCCCAGCGCAGCCAACGCCTCGGCGACCGTCACCAGGCCCCCCGCAGTTATTTGTCAAAAGCATTGGCGCCGCTATTCTCCCGGACGGAAAATCAGTCGGGATGAGCTCGGATTTGGGAGTGGATGAGGATCTGGACGCTGCATTGAAATGCGGTGCGGGTCAGCCTCAATGGGTTTGCCCCTGCCGTGCCCCTGTGACGGAGGCAGCCGCCAGGGAACGTGCGAGCCGGTTCCCAATAAAAAACATATGGTTTGTGGGAAGAAAGGAAGGAGGAAGAAAAAAGCAAAGGGAGAGAGAAGGGAGAGGAAGAAGAAATATGTAAGAAAAAAATATTTGAAAGGCAGTGAGGGAGGGAGAGAACGAAATATAGAAACTTGCCTTCTGTGGATGTTTGTGTCTAAAAATCATTTGTAAGCAAACAAGGCAAGCAAGATGCCAGAGCCCGGTTCTGCAAGAGGAAAGACCTCTTTGAAAAATAGAATAAGTCCTCTATATTGTTAAAATAATGTTCTGGCTAACTCGGGAGGAATTTGATATTTGAAAGAGAAACCTGCATCTGCGGTGCCTGTGCGTACGCACGCACGTGCCTGGGCAGTCGCTCAGTATGTGTGTGTGTGTGTGTGTGTGTGTGTGTGCAGGTGGGCAAAGGTAAGGGGCCCTAGCCAGAGGACTGACTGGTCATGGAGCAGCTTGGCCTTTGGGGAGGTGGGAAAATTGATTTGTGCAAAGGCCGGAGAGTCTGAGGTGGGGCGACAGCAGAGCTGGGGAACAGAATGAAGAAAGCGGAGAGGGGTCTGTTTATCCTGCGAGCAAAAGGTAGGCAAATAACCACTTCCCCGGGGAATCTGAGCACACGAAACCGGGATGGCGACTGTTTGGGCAGCCTCCCGGGGAAGGAGCGGGTCGCTGCGCCAACCGGTCTTCGGGTAGAATCAGCCCAGGCCTCTGCTGCGGCTCCACGGGGCCCTAGCGCCGGAGCCGCATAGTGCGTGCTGCCTGCGTTTCTCAGCCTGGATCCCTTCCCAGCCCCGCAGGAAGTTTCTTCCGGAGCTAGATTTCAGCAGGAGGGACTGGGGAGGGGGTTCCGCAAGGATCGAGAACAACTGGGAGACGAGGGTTCAAACTTAGGCTTTTCCCGCTGAGCTTGGAGCCGGGGCACCGTGGAGTCGCGCAAGCCCGAGGCGGCGGACGGCAAGTGCGCCCAGCATCCGCGGTCCTATTTAAAAACGCGCCTGGAGCCAGAGGCTGC